ACCAGATTTGCAGATTTATCGCAACTTGTAATTTTAAATTCTGCAGTTAAAATAATTATATTAGTATCTTTTTTTTTAAAAAAAATAATCAAATGTAAAAATGTATCAATATTTTTTTATATTTTTTTTAAAAAAATATTAAACAAAATCAATAATTGTTTAGTTTTCTTTTTTAGACAGGTCAGGTCAAGTCAGGTCAAATGTATATTTAATTCAGATCAATTTTATGTCTGATCCAACCTGACCTTATCAGGTCAGGTCAAGTCAATTACCTGACCTGACTCGACCTGTTCGGAGCTCTAGTTGTTCTCTATTAACAAAATCAATGGCTGAACTAATTAAAAACTTATCATCATTTACTGGTAGCATATTGCAAACATATTGTTTATACGATCAGCAGTTCATTTGTATCTAATAATATTTATTATATTAAGGGCAACAATAAGTGAATTTTGATAATCAAAGGATCTATTATTTTGATATAATATAGTCCATGTATCTAATGATATATTACCTAACCTAATTTCTTGTAAAATATTATAGTATTATATATCTTAGTTTTGTCTTTAAAATTGTCTTAAGAATAAGGGATAAAATAATTTCCATTCTGATGATTTGTATACAGTAATCCAGTTATAGAAGGTAATTGAGCTAAATCTCTTACTACTATTACATTCAATCCTTCAAATGTGATTGTTTGTTATTTTATAACTGAAAACATATCTGAAATAAAACTGAAAAGTCTTTCTGACACCATTGAAACTTTATCAATAATTATTGTATTAATACTTTTTAAAAACATGAAATATTCTCTATTGTGAAAAGTTAAAGTTTGAAATCCACTTAATTTTTTGTGAATTCTTAATGTCAAGTGAATTGTTTTTCCTTAAATGTTTGTTGCAGCAACTCCTGTTGGAGTTAAAAGCAAATAATTTGATTTTTTCTTTTTTAAATTATTTATAATTAAATTAATTATAACTGATTTTCCAGTACCAGCTGATCCTGTTATGAAAAAATATGGATATTTGTTTTTTTGTTGTATCAGACCTAAGACATTATGAATAGTTGAAATTACATTTAGTTGATCATTTAGAAGGTTTAGTATATTAGATTAAGGAATGATGGGAGGATTAATTCGCAAAGAATGTAGTTGAATATTAATTATTGTAGATACAGAATCTGAAATAAAAGGTTCTAGATTATGAATTAGAGTATCTAACAATTGATTAAATTGAGAGTCTAATTTTAATTATTGTGTATGTAAATATTGTTGAGTTATTTGTTGAATAGTTTTGTTTAATTCAGAATGTTTGTTTAATCAATAATCACGATAAGTCATAAAGTTTGCAAGTAATTCTTCTTCACTTCTACAGGGAGTTTCTAGCAACAATTTTGATAAAATATAATTGGCTATCTTGTAATCTTAGATGTCAAAATCGAACTAATTTTGAAGTAGTTCTTTTAATTATATAATTGCCCAATCTGTCAATATGAATAAAAGATTGTGTTGTGGGTCTGAAAATGAATATTTCATAATTTTGAAAATATTGTGGATATGTTAAGTTATTAAATTCTTCTTTATATGGTCGGTCAAAATATTTTTCAATATGATTTGTCTAATATGGATTATTGTTAGTTTCATTAATTAGGTAAATAGGACATATTACTTTAGGTCTAGTTAATAGAAGATCAGTGATAAGATATATAACAGAAGAAGAAGAATTACAAATAGTTTTACCTAGTATCAAAAAATATTAATTCTATAGAACCTAATCTTCGAGCTACAACATGTTCTCTAAATTTATCACCTTCTTTAATATTGAAAATATGAGATGATTTTGATTTTACTATATATTTTGTTAAATAAAAAACTAATTTTCGAGAGCTTACATATTGAATATTCATATGTGTATCCCGAATTAATAAAATTTGAGGATGATACAGAATGACCTATTGATCTTCTAGTTTAAGATATTTATAAATGTAAATTTGAGTTTTATTATTAAAATGAGTATATGATGAAAAACAGGAAAATCCTTTTTTGCAAGTATATCCTAAAGCAGCAAGTCCTTCACATTTTAAATTACAAGTGTGTATTTGATTTGCTTTACTTTTGCATATAATTTTGATTCTAAAATTTGATCTGATAAGTCAGATCTTATGATATTTTCATCAATCATTTGTTCAATTGACTTTGTTACCCAATATATGTTATGTTTAAGTGCAGCACCACGGTTTTGAAATTCTACTCTTTCAAAAAATTGAGTTACATTATCCCAATTTGAATGATAGGAATTTTTTAAAACATGCTTTTTGAGTTACTGAAAGCGATATATAAAATATAATGTAGTATGTATTGGTCTGTTTATAGGAATTGTATGGTAGTTATCTGTTGATTTTAAAATTTTATGTAAGTGTTTCCAATGACTTTCAGCTATTATCAGTATAAGAAAAATTAAAGGTAATCCATATGAGGAAATCATTGTATTGACATGATGCTATTTTTCATGAAAATAAGATTTACCAATTCAAATAAAAGTTAGTAAGGTGATTGTTAATGATTCGTCTATTATTAGTTTATTAGAATTAAAGAATGAATTTTAGATATATGATTTTATTTTTGATTACGAAGATGTCTATTTTGAACTCCAAGTGATTGTGTTTTTCTAATTAATATTTGATTTTGTCTGTGAAACCTTTTAAAATCAGCTTTTAATTTTGTATTAGATTCTTGTAAAAACTTATATGTGAACTGATGCTTATAAAGACTTTGAGTTATGGATTCATAAACTTTTTTCTGTAAATATGGTGAATAAATTTTGCCCTTATTAGGTCCTTTTGAATATCGCATTGTTAAAATTAAATGAGTTGATTATTTCTTATAGTCGAACTAGGAAATTGAACTTGTATGGTGTTTAAAATTGTTTCAAGTTGATTCTCATCCATTTCATCTAAACATTTATTTATTTCATTAATTATTATATCATTCCGATACTTTTCTAACTGAATTTTGTTGCAATTATTTAGTTGAAAGCGGCTTTTATATGATTTGTACACTCCCATCACAATTTTTCAAACTTTTATTAGATGCACAGTCTTAACTGCTCAATATTTCAAGGTCAACCTTTGTAAGAAACAATATTAAAGCCATATAAACATAGTTACGAAGCTATCTTTTACATTAAAGTGAAAAAAACTTACATTCGATAAGGTAATTAGAATTTATTTTTCAAATATAGGATTTAAATAGGAATTTCACCAAACTTTCTAGTTGATGTAAATAAAAGCTTCGTAAAATTGTAGCCATGGTATGAAAGAACCGATTTATATTTAAAAAATTTGGAAGGAGAGAGAGATTCGTCCTGTGCATCTAAAAAAAAAGGACTTATTTTTTATAGTTAATCTATATGTGTGGTTATACATAAAGTCGAAATGAAAACCCATAAGTCGAAATGTTTCGACTTTGGAGGTCAAAGTCGAAATGAAAAGTCGAAATGGTCG